TCCCCGCCAGTATTATGGGATGGAACGGGGGAAAGTAGAAAGTGCGGAGGCCGCTGGCTCAGCGGGGAAGCTGCGCGCTCCTTTCCCTGCGCCTTAAGACGCGGGGCGGGATGACGGGGCGGAGGTGGAAAGAGGCCGCAGCGGAGCCCACAGAGGCCCGCGCTCTTGGATAGATTTCGGCGCTTTCCACAGCCCCCCTTTCGGCGGAGGGGGCACCGCAGCCCTCCTGGCCTGACTGGAAGCAGACGAGGGTCGTCAAGCTCCATCCTTTTAATATATATCTCTCTCTCTCTTGTTGTTTAGTCGTTTCCGCCTCTTCATGACCCCCTGGACCAGAGCACGCCAGGCACTCCTGTCTTCCACTGCCTCCCGCAGTTTGGTCAAACTCATGCTGGTACCTTCGAGAACACTGTCCCACCATCTCGTCCTCCGTCGTCCCCTTCTCCTTGTGCCCTCCATCTTTCCCAACATCAGGGTCTTTTCCAGGGAGTCTTCTCATGAGGTGGCCAAAGTATTGGAGCCTCAGCTTCACGATCAGCACCATAATTCAAAAGCATCCATTCTTCGGCGATCAGCCTTCTTTATGGTCCAGCTCTCACTTCCATACATCACTACTGGGAAAACCATAGCTTTACCTATACGGACCTTGGTCGGCAAGGTGATTGCTTTTTAAGATGCTGTCTAGGTTTGTCATTGCTTTTCTCCCTATTTCTTTTTCTTTCTCTTAGCTCACTTAGGAAGTGAGCGCCGTAGAACTATTGCAAGAAGAATTCTCGGAGATTAGGAAAACTACTAGACTCTTACCGCAGGAGGGGGAGATTTAGATGTCCTTCTTGTTTCCGCTTTCCTCCCCCCCCCTCAAATAATTAAGGAAAACAGCAACCATTTACAGTGTAGTCAGGGAGAGAAAGTTACTTTCCCACAAAGCGGAAGTGGGCTCCATGGAGATCAGGCACATTTCCCTCCTAGAGCGGCTTTCAGTCAGTGGAAGTTGGTTGCCCTTGGACAGGAGAGTTTAAGACAGGCTTCCTCAAACTCAGCCCTCCAGATGTTTTGAGACTACAGTTCCCATCATCCCTGACCACTAGTCCTGCTGGCTAGGGATCATGGGAATTGTAGGTCAAAAACATCTGGATGGCTGAGTTTGAGGAAGCCTGGTTTAAGATATGATTATAGCTGCCGTTGCCGGGTTATTCTTGCAGAAGCACTAGAAGCTGCCTTGCAGCAGAGTGAGGCCATTGGGGTGGGGGTGGGTATGTATATATATATATATATATATATGTATATAATATATACACATACATAAACGGGTTGGGAGGGGTGTTAGGGGAGGGGTAGTACCTCTGGGGGGTGACACTTTCTGCTCCTTCTGGGTCATTTTGTCCACCTTTGGTCTCCGCCCTGCACTTGGCTCTTGCCTGTGGCTCCTAGAAGCTGTCAGCATGCACCGGCAGCTACATCCCAGGAAGCAGCTTTGACTGGCTGGCTAAACCAGGTGAAGCGAGCCAATGAATCTCAAACCCTTGGGGCTTCCCCTGCATGTGAAGACAGGCTCCGGCAGATGGACGAGAACCATCATGGGTCCGACGGTCAAGAAGGCGGTTTCTGCACATGCTGTAGAGGGAAGTGGGGAGCAAATGGGGTTCGCCAACCTGGAAAACTGATCCTAAACCTCTGCTGCCTTGCAGGATATATTCGGGAGAAGAAAAGGTTAAGGAGTAAGCCCTACACAAAGGTGGTTGGATGGTGCTTCGTACACCTCCTTCCAGAAACTCTTGCAGCCAAGCTGATGCCTAACGTATTACTCTGCTTTCGTTTGGTCCACATCAGTGAGCCAGAGGAGGGTGGTGTCATCTGGGCAGCCCTGGACTTCCATACAAGCTTGTGCCCCAGGGAGGTCACTTTGGTGCTGCAAATACAGTAGTTTGATGTCACCTGTAGAGGTGCACTCTTTTGTCTCTCAGGAAAGATTTATGCCAATAAAAATACACGTGTACAAACATGTGTACATGTATCTATGGTTTGGCATTAGCTGCAGTATTTCACAGTATGGCTGCCATATACAAAAAAGCTAAGCCTCTTGAAGTCTCCTAGAGTACAGACATGGCTTCAAGCTGACCGTGGTGTATAATATACAGTTCTTTCATTCAGTCTCACCAAGAGATTTAAAATACTTGCCCTCAGGTTCTTGTACCACAGTTATCTGCCACTTACGAAGGGTAGACACCTGTATGATTGGCAGCATTCCCCCATAAAATATTCACAAGTGGCAAGAGGAATTACCACATCCCTGTCTGAGAGTGACAGGTGAAAGAAGTAGTGACAAGTCGTACTGATGCACACCTTTCCTGACTATATGTGTATTTAGCAGTATGGTCTCAGAATTGGACTCTCAAGTGCAAAAGTATACTGTGGATTAGTGACTAAATTGGAAGGCCCCCACCCTCAGCTATACCAAAATTTTAATCAAGGTGTGGGGAAATGTTGCCTTGAGTAACCAAGTGACTCCTGCAAATTCAAAAGCTGGCCATCCCTGGCCTAAAATAAGGTATATCTACAAACTTCATGGCTGCTGGTTTCTGCCAGCCTTAACAGCATATTTTGAACTGTGTAGCAGTCTTCTTATTCAGCACCAGGGGTGGAATTCAGCATCACTCTCTTCCTCTTATTCCATCTGTGCAAGCATTTCAGTTTGCAGGACAGAATGACCCCCCACACACACCAAAAAGAACCCTTCCCCCATGCTCTGCTCTGGAGGATATTCTGACCAGCACCCTGAGCCAAACGGGGCTCCTCTTCCATGGAGGCCAGCGGGGGTGGAGGAAGAGAAGGGAGGAAAGCCCTATAGAGCAAGCAGAAGTCTTAGCACAACACTTCCGCTGACAGGGTCTGGTTAGGTGAATTGCACCACCAAAGTCCCACCATCTTAGTGAGGCTTTAAAAACAGAGAGAAAAACTCTTTATATACACTCATAACTGAATTCTCCACACGACACAATGAGGAAACAGGTACTACAGTAGCTATAGAAAATGGTCATTGCTGGTTTATTTGTTTAGAAGCCTCTAGTACTGGTAGTGGGAATGTTTAAACATACAAAGTAAAAGGACAGAAGGCGCAATCTGGGTCATCACTGAGGGTGTAGAATCCACAACAGGAAAACCAGTCCCTTCTCTCAGCCTGAAATTCTATCCCTTTCATCCCCTTAATCAGATTCAACCTTTAGTTAATGGAACCCAGTTCTACTCCTTTTAAGATCTACGACCACTTGCCCTAATCTCATTTTTGCAACTTCCTCTGCTCTCGGTCCTCTTGCTTCTTACAAACACACACTGGAATACCACTACAGCGTCTGATTTACATTGAACACCACTCCTGTTACCCTCATTTCCAGCTCAAAAAGGTCCCAGCCTAGAAACCACCCATATTTTCTCCTACCCTGTGACAACCTCCAGTAAGGCAGCTCTTCTCAGTTTCAAAGGGTGAAATTCAACATCCTGCTAAGGTGATTGTTCCTTTTTGGCTTGCCAGATGGAGCAATCCCCCGCCCACTGTTCCAGAAGTTCTCCCAACCTCCCCAGAGCCAATTTCATGGGACGCGCGGATGAGATGGAGAGAAGCTCCACACTAGAAATGGAGGTTCGGGCACTGGGCTTCTGTGGACAGGCCTCATTAGTTGAATCGCACCCAATATTACACTTCCTAAAGGACAGACGTCTGGTATTCCATTTTCCAGCACAGACTTCAGACTATGCTGTGATTCTAAAGTGCGGGAGAGACGCAAGGCCCTCTAGAAGCTGTTGGATTTAAACTGCCATCAGCCGCAGCCAGGATGGCCAATGATCAGGGGATGACGGCAGGTAGAATCTCATAACTTCTTAGAGGGGCACAAGTTACCCTAAAAAGCCATAAAAGCTTAGTGCTTTTAGATAATATTTTGAGACAGCTACTCCTGGGTGACCACTTCTCTTTCAAGGGTTGTTCACACACATTCACACAGTGGTGAGGCTAATACTGGAGCCCAAATGATTGTCTCTGCAGCAATTGCGGCCACACTTTTACACCCAACAAAGAGTTGGGTCATACAGAAGCCCGCTTCCAGTATTTTAAAAAACTAGTGGATTCAATAAACAGTACAGTCTCATTTGCTCTCTGTTTCTCCTAATGTCCGTTTGGTATGCAAAAAGTTTTTGAGTATATAAAAAAAACTTGATTATAGCTTCATTTATATTAAAACAAACAGGGGTGACAATTAAATGCTGTGTGGCAGTAATGTACCCTTAAATGCAACCACATGAGCAAGAACATTATTTCACAATTTTTCTGCCTCTGCACCCCACTCCCTTTCTTTGCCCACAAAGAAGTCACAAGGGACAAAAATCAAGTTTTCTGCGGTCAGGTCAGAACTAAAGGAAAGAGACGAAGAAAAAAAATTAAAAATTAAAAGTGGTAGTTTTGATAAAACATTGAATTTGCCAACTTAAACAAGAAAGGGTGAGAGTTATGAATAAAAAATGTCCGATAACTATATAAAATAAACCTAACTTCTTTTAAAGGGGGGAGTGCCTCTAAATTACACAAAAGCAAGGAGGCCACTTTCTCCTCCTCTCCCACCTTAATTTCCCCAAATTATATACAGCAAAGGCGCAAGAATGCAAACTGAGGGTTGGAGTGAATGAACTGAGATTTGTGGCTATACGCTCCTCACACAGTGTTAAAGAAACGCCCTACTAACGTTTAAAATGGCAGGTTTAGGGAAACGCAAAAATCCACTATTCCCAGAGTTTCTGAAGCTTGGGTCCAGAAGGCTTAGGGCCCCTCACTTTGTGATGGGACACCCTATTTCTCTTGCTCCAGGGGAGGACTGGTACTATATGGCTCTGCAAGCCCTCTTTCCCATGACCCTCTTGCTAAAGAGGCAGTAGCTCAAGCTCTCCCAAAATACGGAATGTCGGGAAAGGAAGGGGCACAGCCTATAGCAGCAGAGGGGAAGAAGCCTCCCAAGATTTGAGGGAGAGGAACAGTCAAGAGCAGGAGCAGGGCACGGTGAGTAAGGGTGGGAGCCTTCTCCGGCTCCTCTTCCACTGCCGAAAAGTCCCAAGCGCTGCCATCACGAATCATCTTCCATGCTGAAACTGGAGCGGCGGCTGCTGCCCTTAGAGGCGCCAGGCGAGACGGAGGAGAGGAGCGGATCAGAGGCACCCAGCGGGGACAGAGCAGTCCCATCGTCCATGAGAACATCCTGCAGGGCTCCCCCGTCGGAGCCCAGAGCAAGGCCCAGACCCCAGTTCCTCTGCTGTGAAGGGCAGGTCCAGGGACTCTGCAAAGGAAGGAACCGGGTCTCCTCCCAAGGGCTGAGTCAGAAGCCCCTGTGCCGAAGTCAAGGGCAGACCGTGCATCTGCACTTGCAGTTCCAGCTCCTGGGGAAGAGACCAGAGACGGGAGAGTGAGACCCAGCAGCATGCCTGAACTACACCTTCTGCATCCCGCCCCACCCCTACCCCCTCCTGAGCATGGCACCCGCTTCTTCTACCTGCACTCGCAGCTGCAGGCTGCGGTTGGCCTGTTCCAACTTGCGCTGCCGGAGTTCCATCTCTTTTGAGTGCTGCTGCTCTTTCTGCAGCTTCCGGATGTAATCCACCGAGGCTTTGAGGATGGTTCCTTTGTTCCAGCGCATCTCCCTAGGGAGGAGGGGGAAGAGGAGCTCGTCACCTGGGCAAGCAAGGTCCGTGCATTCCTTTTATTTATTTATTAAAGTTCTTACGTTACATCGGTAAACATTATCATATTACATTGCAAGGCTTATTATACTATAATTTTCAACATGTATACAGTGGTACCTCTGAATACGAACGGGATCCGTTCTGGAGCCCCGTTCGCATCCTGAAATAAACGTAAGTCGCGACTGCGCGTCTGTGTGTGCGTGGGTCACATTTTGCCGCTTCTGCGCATGATGTCATTTTTGAGTGCACATGCGCGAGCGGCAAAACCCGGAAGTAATGCGCTCCATTACTTCCGGGTCGCCATGGAGCGCAACCCGAAAATACTTAACTTGAAGCTACTTCAACCCAAGGTATGACTGTACAAAGTTTATATACTAAAACGGGGGGAAAGAAAGAAAAAACAAGGGCAAAAAACTATTCCAGAATCATATATATATAAATACCAACACTTTGGACTTCCTGTCTATCCCGTTGCATATTCCTTTTTTACAAATGAATGTACTCTTATTTTTGTAGATTTCTTTACATTTTATCTAATACATTCCTATATCAATATGTACCCTTGGTCTTATTTCTCAACTCAGTCTCTCTCCAACTTCAATCGAATGCTAGCACAGATAGCGAACCTTTACTGTATTTTTGAACATACATCTCATATCTATCCCACTTTCCCATAATTTTTTGTTTTGAAGTGCCTCTCAGGCTATTTGTCAACTGCTCCATTTCAGCAAATTCTTGTAGCTTGTTATGCCAATCCGTTATTGTCAGGACTTCTTCTTTCTTCCACCCCTTTGCCACCAAAGTCCGAGCTGCAGCCGTTGCATATAAAAATACCTCCCTAAAGGCATTTGGGATGTCCCTGCCAACAATACTTAACAGAAATGCCTCTGGTCTTTTTAGAAATGTTTCCAAACATTTTTTTTAAAATCATCATAAATTAAGGTCCGTGCATTCCAATACATACACACACACTAAGAAGAATTACTGGACCAAGGTCCGGTTGAGTCCAGCATCCTGTTTCCAACAGCAGGACAGCCAGATACCCCTGGGCACTCGCAAGCAGGGCACCAAAAGGATGCCAGCCCTAGAATCTGCAGCCCTAGTTATCATGGCTAGTGGACTAAGCAATGTAGGACCTCCCACAAAATGTTGCTGTGTGTACATGGCTGGCTGGCAGGCTCCCTACCTATTGCCAAGATACTCCATTCCTTCCTTCCTTCTCTCCCCCTGCCAGTCAGTCAGTTTCCATGACCACTGGGCATGCCAAGTCCTCATTGGTTTGTTTTCTGAGTTTTTCCTTTCCCTGCCGCCCAAGGGATTTTATCCTAAAGATTTTGGAGCTCCTCCAACTTTGGGGTTGCACCAAGCCTACTGACACCTCCCCACTTCTACGCAGATGGTATCATTCTGGCTACATATGGAGAGGCATTCAGAGAATGAATCCTTCGTGAGTATACAGACATATATACAATATATTCTACTCAGCACTATATACCTCGGGTTACATACGCTTTAGGTTACACACTCTGCTAACCCAGAAATAGTACCTCGGGTTAAGAACTTTGCTTCAGGATGAGAACAGAAATTGGGCTCCAGTAGCGCGGCAGCAGCAGGAGGCCCGATTAGCTAAAGTGGTGCTTCAGGTTAAGAACAGTTTCAGGTTAAGAACGGACCTCCGGAATGAATTAATTACTTAACCCGAGGTACCACTGTACACTGGTAAGATACAGCTCAAAGAACAAAAAAATGCTGCCACCCAAACAGGCAAACTATCAGTACTGAAGACACATTTAGAATACAACAGCAGTTAGAAGATGGGTGAATGCACTGCCACCAGCCTGATGCCCCCCCCCCGATATTTTGGATTACAACTCCCATCTGCCCAGTGAACACAGCTCATGGGAGCTGTAGCCCCATACTTCCAGAGGGTGCCAGGTTGGCAGAGGGTGGCCTACACTTTCAGGCTTCTCAAGGGAGGGGAACTCACAGCCTTCCTCCACGCACCCCCCCCACCCAACAGGCCTTTTTTCTTACGGTGCCGAGCAATTGTCATTCATCTACTACACTTACGGATCATTCGATTTGGGGATGAGAGTCCCCAGCTCTTTGATACGGTCGTTGATATTGAACCGCCGTCGCCGCTCAACTGCAAAGAAAGAGAGAAACGTAAGTGGCACTAGATATCATTAAAGCACAGCTACTCGTCTTATCTTTATTAGTTTAAGAAAATAACAAAAAACCTCATTTCCACAGCACTTTCCAGAAAGCAAAGCATTTTGCCATTCGATCATTTAACCCCACAACAGCGCTATAAGGTAGGCTAGGCAGAGAATGCAGTGCCTTGCCCAACTATACCTTACCGGCATGAGCCCTGGATTGAGGGCTGGGGGGTGTGATGAAATGCCACACAAGCAGAGAACCAAGTGGAACTGGGCACCAGATTCAGCTTCTCAAGTATCTCAGCTTTCTTTAGAGAGAGAACCCAGGCTTCCAGCCCTTATGGTTGTAAAGATAGGCTTGTAAACATGTAGCAGTGCTGGATTTACGTATAAGCTAAAGAAGCTATAGCTTAGGGCCCCACTCTCTTGGGAGCCCCCAAAAAATTGAAAGGGAAAAAAACTGGATGTACATTTCCAAAATATAAGATAAAAAACAAATAAAATAAAACCTACATGCAGCAACAGCGTTTTGTGTTGTGTAGGCTCCTGTGATGTAGGTAATGGGCCCCGCCTGCTAGCCTGCTCCCTAAAATATCACTGGTTTTGTTATGTGCAAATGGCTTCAGATACCTGTTAGGTCCATAAATTACCATATAGTATATATTCAACACAAAAAACAGCCACAATTTGTTGTTGACGAAGGACAGCTGGACATATAAAGGGCCCCATTACCTTCAGTAGCTTAGGGCCTCATCAGACCTAAATCTAGCCCTGGCATGTAGGCAGCACCGCTGGTGAAGTCTCAGGTGCCAGGCAGACTGCTTAATAATATTTCCAGTAGTCAGGAATTCAGTGACCTGAGTAGCTCCTTGTTCCTCCCCACCACCATCAACATGTGAAGGAGAAGCTGCCCAAACAGGCTTAACTTCCATAATTTATAAAGGCTGCAAGAATCCAGAACCTTTTTGCCACAGAAGCTGGGGCAGCTTGGTGCAGGATTTGCTCCTATTGTTGTGCCACAGCCTGTTCCAGTACCACACAGGGTGCTTTTTTTCTCAGTGCTTGTGCAAAATCTAGGCTTATACATGGTCACAAATGCAGCTCAGATACAGGCCCCAAATGGTGTGTTGGTAAAGGTAAAGGGACCCCTAACCATTAGGTCCAGTTGTGACTGACTCTGGGGTTGTGGCGCTCATCTCGCTTTATTGGCTGAGGGAGCCAGCGTACAGCTTCCGGTCATGTGGCCAGCATGACTAAGCTGCTTCTGGCGAACCAGAGCAGCACACGGAAACACCGTTTACCTTCCCACCGGAGTGGTACCTATTTATCTACTTGCACTTCTTGCTTTCGAACTGCTAGGTGGGCAGGAGCACAGACTGAGCAATGGGAGCTCACCCCGTCGCAGGGATTCGAACCGCCGACCTTCTGATCCCTTCTGATCGGCAAGTCCTAGGCTCTGTGGTTTAAGTCACAGCGCCACCCACGTCTCTGCTGTGTTGGTACATCACACAAAATGTTTGGGGAAATGCGGGGGGGCGAGATAGCGAAGTTACATTGGCCGCTACCAAACAAGTTGAGTCAGCCAATCTTGTTCTTAACCCATCAGATTAGCCCAGGGCATACTCTGTTAACTGGCTCAGCTAGTCTGCACACTCCTACCTGATCAGGTCCACAAGCCTAGCAGCCTCTCCCCAACACTGGTTTGAGTGGTGTCAACCAATCATCCCTCATTCCCCGCCCCTCTTTTGGATCAATCCAACAGGACCAACCAGTTCAGCATCGAAACCTCCAAACATAAACCTTGGTTAACACCACCACCAATTTCCTCTTGCCCTTTGCTTTAAAACAATAATAGGGAACACAAAATTTAAAATATGCATTCAAGTTTGGTAGGTTAAAATGCATCAGTGGACCAAAGTCATTCGAGTAACTAACACCCCAAAACAGTAGAGTGTACTGCAGGGGTCAGCAAACTTTTTCAGCAGGGGGCCGGTCCATGGGCCTTGTAGGGGGCCGGACTATATTTTGGGGGGGGAAAATGAACAAATTCCTGTGTCCCACAAATAACCCAGAGATGCATTTTAAATAAAAGGGCACATTCTACTCGTGTAAAACCACGCTGATTCCCACACCATCCGCGGGCCGGATTGAGAAGGTGATTGGGCCAGATCCGGCCCCCGGGCCTTAGTTTGCCTACCATGGTGTACTGTATCAACTCTAGCTTAGCCCCAAAATTCTACGCTCCTAGGATAGCTCAGTTGATAGAGCATGAGTCTCTTAATCTCAGGGTTGTGGCCAAAAAGATTCCTGCATTGCAGGGGGTTGAGCTAATGAACCTTTTGGTCCCTTCCAACTCTACAGTTCTATGATTCTATGGCAACTCCCCTCATCCCTGAACATTGGCCATGCTGGCTGGTGATGAGACTGATCCTCTGTCAGGGACCCTGGGGGAGCTGCTGTCAATCAAAGCAGACAATGGAAACTGTCTTGAGTCAGTATAAGGCCCCTTTCTATGTACCTACAAGCTTCTCCACCCATGTATGCAATGCTTAAATGTAAAGGGATCCCTGACCATTAGGTCCAGTTGTGGCTGACTCTGGGGTTGCGGCGCTCATCTCGCTTTATTGGCTGAGGGAGCCGGTCTACAGCTTCTGGGTCATGTGGCCAGCATGCCTAAGCCGCTTCTGGCGAACCAGAGCAGCGCACGGAAACGCTGTTTACCCTCCCGCCGGAGTGGTACCTATTTATCTACTTGCACTTTGACGTGCTTTCAAACTGCTAGGTTGGCAGGAGCAGGGACCGAGCAACAGGAGCTCACCCCGTCGCGGGAATTCAAACTGCCGACCTTCTGATCAGCAAGTCCTAGGGTCTGTGGTTTAACCCACAGCGCCACCCGCATCCCTATGCAATGCTTAGGTTTCGAAATAACAAATAGATAACTAAATACACTCCTGCCGTCATCAAGGTATCCAGCATTCCTTATCCTCAGAGCAGGCCCACTGAAATTTGCAGACATGAATAACTTTGGGTCCATTAATTTCAGCAGCACTTAAGTGGGACACAACGCAAAATCGCTTTAAACATTTTTAAGACGGCGTTTTCACCAGTAAAGGGTACTCACTCAGATTATGGTTGTCTTTCTTCTGCCTCTCCTTCAGGAATGCTTTGGCTTCATTTTCTGCTAAGGAAGACACATAAGCCACAAAAATGATGGTCAGGGATGACTCTGAAGTCTCTACCCCTTCCCAGCTGTACAGCATCTTATTTCTGCTGAGCCCTGATGGTTTGGAATGCAAGAACCCCCAGTACCTGACATCTCTCTCTTGATATTGGGCAGGTCAGCCGGGCAGGAGTTGCTAACTGTCACAGCTGGCTCCATCATTCCTGGGTTGTTGTACACATCCAGGAGGTTTCCAGAGACTGGCAGCTGCATATAATCATAGGACGAGTTCGACTTACTTTCACATGGATAAGACTGGCCCAAGTGAGAAGTGGGCAAGGCCTCCAGGCCACAGGGCTCTCACACCACCTTGCCAGCTCTCTGCTCTTCAGTGTATTACAATTCACCCAGCAGCGCTGCACACAAGCTGGCTCCAGGTCCCTTTGGGGATTTGCTTAAAACAAGATATATGCTACTGCGATTAACAAAGGAGAAATTTATTCAGCAACAGCATCCTCTCATTTTTATCAGAGCTGCTGACGAAAGCAGAAGCTGAAAAGTTTCTCTGCATAAGTAAGATTTATTAACTTCCACCCATTAATGCAACAGAGGAGATTAAATCAATGAACTGTTTTTTAAAAAATAATAATAATCAGTTGACAGCCCTGTAAGTTGTGCTAGCTATGGCTGGAAGTTCTGATCCATTTTAAATCCCACTTCCCCCCACAATCACGCCTCTGCCGAGAACCCACAAAAAAGGCTACTCACAGTGCTGGGCATCTGTAGGCCTCCGTAGTTAAGGATTTCATCATTGTAGCTGGATTCCAGGCTGATGATCTCATCAATTACATCATCAATCTAATTTTTAAAAGGGAAGCAGATAACCCTGAGATAAGAGACCTTAATCAGAAGTCTTTAAAAAAGCAATGAGGGAGGGACAAACGAAAGGTAATTGAGATAAGAGTTTTACTCACCTCTTTCTCAGAGCTGGAGCCAATGTTCAGCATAGCCATGGGGCTATTGGGGGCACTGCCAGGGCCCCCTGCCACTCCCGGCTGCTTGGCCAAACCATGTTGGGGCTCAGGAGCAGAGGCAGCCTGTGGGGAGCAGGTGGAGGCCCCCGGACTGGTCCCAGCTACAGCCTGTGTTGCTATCTTGCTGCCCATGGCAGTGGAGAGATACTGCTTCACCTGTTGCCTCTGTGCCTGTTGGATGTGATACTTGGTGGGGTTCTCCAGGTGGGTCTGGACCTGAGCTCAGAGGTGAAAAGAGAAGGGCCATTAGCCACAGGAAAAAGAACGCCAGCCAGCCAGAACTCAAGCGACTGAAGCCCAGCCTCTGCACTTACGAGGGAGAAGGGTTCATTTCAAATAATAAGGAGCAGCTGCAGGGGCAGCCTATGTGCTTGCCAGATGTTCTGGACCATCCCTGCCTTGGAGCATGCTGCTGGCTCTTCCATGAGATCCTTCTGCCCATCCCTTGAGCCAGGCTGAGCTCAAAGCAATGAGGAGTGTTATACCCCAAGGCACTGCGAGGTGCACCAGGTTGATAAAGGTAAAGGGACCCCTGACCATTAGGTCCAGTCGTGGCCGACTCTGGGATTGTGGCGCTCATCTCGCTTTATTGGCCGAGGGAGCCGGCGTACAGCTTCTGGGTCATGTGGCCAGCATGACTAAGCCGCTTCTGGCGAACCAGAGCAGCGCACGGAAACGCCGTTTACCTTCCCGCCGGAGTGGTACCTATTTATCTACTTGCACTTTGACGTGCTTTCGAACTGCTAGGTTGGCAGGAGCAGGGACCGAGCAACAGGAGCACACCCCGTCGCGGGGATTCGAACCGCTGACCTTCTGATCGGCAAGTCCTAGGCTCTATGGTTTAACCCACAGTGCCACCTGCGTCCCTTACAGCATGTTCATAGCAAACCCCAAAGAGCACCTCAGCTGGCTTGAGACCCTAGTGACAGTCACACTCAACAGCAATTGTAAAAGACATAGATTGTCTAAACCAGTAATTCTTAAAACTGAGCAGCATAATTATCAGCACAACGGGCCTAGCCTTGAGGAACAACTGCTGGACATGGATGCAGTTACAAGTAAACGCCAGTGTCAGCAGAATGCAACTTGGTTATGTTACCTTGGTCATTAAGCAGATGTGAGCTCTCCAAATAAAAGGCAGGATGGAAATGTTTCGAAATAATGCATTTGAAGGGAATCAAAGAGGCCAGATCAAGCCCCTTCATGTCACGGGGCAAAACCACTGACCCACCAAGCCCACCAGCTCTGCTGAGGGGAATTGCAGTCCTAAACCTCTGGAGAAACACCACATTGGGGAAAGCTGTCCATGCTTCTTTCCGTACTGATCTACCTAAACCAGAGGCCACCAATGTCATGCCACTGGGCATTGTGCCCGTGAAGCCTCTGAGACCCCCTTCCCTATGTAATCCTCATAGAACTCTAGCCCAATGGTTGCCATTAATCTGATTCCGAATTGATTTTAGAATGTATTTTAATTAATTGATTGTGCTTTTATGTAAACTGTGCTATTTTTATTGTTGTTAGGCGCTCTGAGCCCGGCTTTGGCTGGGGAGGGAGGGATATAAATTATATTATTATTATCATTATTATTATGTTCACTACCTCCCCAGCGGTGAGAATTGCTACTTTTTTCTCCCTTGAAATGCACACAGAGCTTAAGGAGGAAGTTGAAAGAGCGATGTTCTTTCCCACTTCCTTTTTTCCCCTCTATTGCGCTTTTCAAGGCTCTGATTCCACTGGATCTGACCTTTGGGGAAAGCATTTGCGTGTGTGGGGGGTGCACTTTCTTTTTGTTTTTCTGGGTGGGGGTTGATCCGGGGGAGGGGAGAGAGGAGTGACTGGAGAGGGTGGTACCTACTGAAAAGTTCAAATGTACCCACGGACCTAAACAGTCATTGAGCGCTAACCTCAATGGTACCACAAGCACGCAGCAGAAAGACGCTTCAATGATGACTTCTGCCAGCCAGCTCAAGCTGTGTTTGAAGCCATCAACCATTTCATGGCCATCTTGCACTTTTCCCTGTTACAGTGCTATAGCATTCCACCCCCAAAGAAGGAAATGCCCCCACCACTAGGCCACCCAGCCCTCCTCCTGCCACACAGTCCCTCCGGGCAAGATCAGAGCCGAATGCCACCCCTCCTGGACTTCCTCTCTCCTTCCAACTCACCTTCAGTACCTCCACAGGAACCTGGGCAGGGGCAGGGCGAGCGAGGGGGCTCATGGAAATGGCGGGCGTGGAAGGGGCCGGGGGCGCCGGAGTGAACTGTGCTGCCTGCTGCTGCTCCCGGCGCTCTTGTTCTTGCGTCTGCGCCCGCATCAGCTGCTGCCGGAGAAGCACGCGGGACGACATGGCGGGACCCTGAGCTGGGGCACTCGGCGGGCTGCCGGAATAGAGGAAGGGAGAGAGAACATTCAGCAGCCATCAAGGAAATCTCACTACAGTCATACCTCAGGTGAATATGCTTCATGTTGAGCACGTTTGAGTTGTGCTCCGCGGCAACCCAGAAGTAACACGCTCCGTTACTTCCAGTTTCTTCCGGGTTTCGCTGCTCGAGCACGCGCAAATGCTCAAAAATGATGTCACGCGCATGCGCAGAAGCGGCGAAAAGCGACACGCGCTGCGCAGACGTGCCATCGCTAGTTACGTTTGCTTCTGGATGTGAACGGGGCTCCGGAACGGATCCCATTTGCATCCCAAGGTACCAGGGTTCTGCCACTCCTGTAATGAAACTACAGTCATACCTCACGTTACATTTGCTTCATGTTACATTCTTTCAGGTTACATCCCGCAGCAACCCGGAAGTACCGGAAAGGGTTACTTCCGGGTTTCGTTGCTTGCGCATGCGCAGAAGCGCAAAATGACATCATGCGCAGAAGCGGCAAATCTCAACCAATGCATGCGCAAACGCTCCACTGCGGGTTGCACTCTTTTCATGTTGCAAACAGGCCTCCGGAACGGATCCTGTTTGCAACCAGAGGTACCACTGTAGTGACACGATTCCCTGCCCTAGACACAACCTGGACGCAGAACAACACAGGCAGTCGAAAGCTGATGTTACTAACAAAACCTTAGATCAAGCACGTTAGAGAACTATTTTTTTAAAATGTATAAAACTGGGAGGTCAGCCTCAGAGATGGAACAGAAATAAAAACCTACCGAACAGGAGAATTTAATGTTGAATGTCAATAGAATACTTAATGCTGAGATTCTAATCCATTTGAGTGTACAGACAACAGTTCCATCAGTTGATAAAGTTCTTTTAAAAGAAAAAATGTGTTTTCTACATTCAGACTTCTGCACTGGATCCGGTTGAATGTTAAATATTTGTCCCTATCGCCATCTTGTGTCTCTAAAAAGTTGAAAAAATTAATAGAAGCCACAGGTGGGGGGGGAGCTGATGTTACTGAATTTCATTTGGATAAACGTTAAATTATGCAAGCTTTCCTTTTTTAAATATGGAACAAAAATACATTTTCTCTTCAAGTTCAGGCATGGGGAACCTGTGGCCCACCAGATTTGGCTGAACTGAAACTCCCATCATCTCTAGAAATTATGGCAAATGGCCAGGGTTGATGGGAGCTGTAGTCCAGTAACGTCTGGAGGGTCACAAGTTCCCCACATCTGCTCATGATCATTTTCATGAGGAACACGGAGGGTATAAGCAAGTCGGACCCCTGACAATTGAGTCCAGTCGCAAACGACTCTGGGTTGCAGAGCTCATCTCGCTTTAAAGGCCAACGGAGCCGGCGTTTGTCCGCTTCCGCAGACAGTTTTTCTGGGTCATGTGGCCAGCATTACTAAGCCGCTTCTGACGAAACCAGAGCAGCGCACGGAAACGCCATTTACCTTCCCGCTGGAGCGGTACCTATTTTTCTACTTGCGCTGTGTGCTTTTGAAGTGCTAGGTTGGCAGGAGCTGGGACCAAGCAACGTCGCGGGGATTCGAACCGCCGACCTTTTGATTGGCAAGCCCAAGCGGGCACAGTGGTTTAACCCACAGCGCCACCCATGTCCCGTTTCTCCAGTGTGCAATGCCATCTAAAAACCATTTGAAGCATTGCTTCTCTGACCTGGGCAATGCCGTTTCCCAAAAATTGTTCCCTCCAGCGTCACCATGGAAATCGTTCTCCCAACAATCTGTCAAACCTTGCAAATCCTCTCTCTCTGTGTGTTGTTGTTAATTGCTTGCAGGTAGCCTTGAAACCTGTCCTCTAGCACTGATGTCATGGGCAGAACTCAGCTCTCAGTTTAACGGGGCTCTCCCCTTCTTCTGCTTGCACAGAAGGAATGTCTGGAGGAGGGCAGTGTTGAATTCCACATTGTCACTCAACATTGATTCCACTCTTTGGCAGGTTTCTTGTGTAAAATTCTAATATTTGCAAGAATATTATTTGTGTGAATGAATTTGTAAAATCAATTTTTTAAAAAATAAAAAAGACAGATTCCAACTCAGCTCTGTTTCTTATGGCTTGCTCCTGTAGAGCTACTCTTCCAGTAAACATCAAGGAAATACACAACTATTTGACTTTCCAGAGACTTGTATCGGGAAGGTTTCACTGTTTGACGTTTATTGCATTTTTAATATTTTGTTGGGAGTCGCCCAGAATGGCTGGGGCAACCCAAATCAGATGGGTGGCACATAAATAATAATAATTTTATTATTATTATTATTATTATTATTATTATTATTATTATTATTATTATTTGAGATTTCAACAAAGGCTAGAACCTCCAGATACTTTTTATATCAAAACCATCATTTTCAAGACAACCCTCGTCACAAGCGTGACAGATTTGGAACTAGACTTGATGATCTCATTCTAAATGCTTATTTTATATTTTGTTTTTCATCTTTTAATTTGCCTGTTGTTATAAATGTTCTCTCTCATACACATTATAAAATGAATAATAAAACTTTACAAAAAATAATAATAATAAAGATCACAAAGTCTAATTTCTTTCCAGTCTACAAAATACTAAGGCTTGTCTTCATTTCTGTTATTTAAAAAGAGGAGGTGGTAAGTAAGTAAGTTATGTGAGTGGAGACTGAACAAGTGCCAGGAGTTTCATTCTAGCTTTAAAAACTACACAGACAATTTATAAGAATGGGCTTTGTCTTATTGATTTTATTTATTTATTGGACTTATTACCTGCCCTTGAACCCAGAAGTTCCCAAGGCAGCTGGCAACATTTTCATTACAAAAGCAACAAATCAAACAAAACATAGAAACTTGTAAAACTTGTCATGAACCCACAACCCAGCAGAAGGTACTATAAATCAGTTCTATAAATCAGTCACCTCCACAGACCAGAACGAAAAAGTATATCTTGACTTGATGGTGACCTACTGACATGGGGGACCACCGTACGTCCAGTGGGAAAGAGTTCCACATCCAGAGTGCTGCAACAGAGACGGCCCTGAGCACAGAGGTTGATGAGGTCCGTTCAGCCCAGACACTGAGGTCCAGCTCCAAGGGCCTTCTGGCGGTTCCCTCACTGCGAGAAGTGAGGTTATAGGGAACCAGGCAGAGGGCCTTCTCGGTGGTGGCGCCTGCCCTGTGGAACGCCCTCCCATCAGATGTCAAGGGAATAAACAACTATCTGACTTTTAGAAGACACCTGAAGGCAGCCCTGCTTAGGGAAGTTTTTAATGTTTAACACTGTATTTTAATATTCAGTTGGAGCCACCCAGAGTGGCTGGGGAAACCCAGCCAGGTGGGTGGGATATATATAAATTATTATGAATTATTATTACAGTGATCCGTGTGAGATGCACATTCGCAACCTGCAGCATTCGCAACCCGCGTCTGCGCATGCGCGGTTGCGATTCAGCACTTCTGCAAATGCACAAAGCGTGATTTAGCGCTTCTGCGCATGCGCAACTGCTGAAACCCGGAAGTAACCCATTCCGGTACTTCCGGGTTTCGGCAGTCCGCAACCCGAAAAAACGCAACCTGAAGAGGTTGTAACCCGAGGTATGACTGTATATTATTATGAATAAGCAGGCCACCTTTGCATATGTAAATCAAACAAGTAATTGTGGGTGCCATTAAAGGATAGGACATTCCATTAACTATCCATACAGTAACAAAATAAATGAACAAGCTTGGCTGCTTTGATCATTGTGCTGGGAGTATGTCCTAATCCGTAACAGGGACAGAGTACAACATAACTGCAGCTGATCTGCAGATCATCGGACTGAAACACCCGGAAATGCAGGATGAGGTAGGAGAGCTTCACGAAAGAAAAAAAGGGCTGGGGGAGAGAGGGAGGAACATTTTCAGGCCCCCTTGGATGTGAGGAAGAAACTCAAAGATATGTGGTCAATTTCTGCTTAATAATTAGCCACAAGAACCGGTCGTAGTCCTTTAACTGCAGCCCCCAACCCTTCTCCTCCAACACACCTAATCTCCCTGCATTGTTCTCCTTCCCTGCTCTGCAACCAATAACTCTGAATCTCTCTCTCTCTTTAAGCAGCCCCTGCCCACATCCTGCAAGGAAGAAGTTGTAAAAAAATGGTCTACTGGTTAAAAAAAAAACCACTATGCCAGTTGAAAAACTGCGGCATACCCTCACCCTTGTTGTAAACAAAATATGCCCTTTTCCCCTTATGGGGAATCCAAGAGCCCGTATAGAGTCCTTACATGCGTTCCCTATTGGTAGGAGAAAATAACAGAGGCCAACCAGAGAATATTGAGAAGCAAAGCAGCTAGTAAGCCTGATCTTTATTGATCTGTTGCAACAGGGTGCTCCCCTCACACGCAGGAAAGGAGGAGGACCCAGAACCAAGGTGTGTCCGCCCTGATATAGACATTTTAAATTCCTTTTCCTGGAGCTCAAGACCACCCCTCCATACATCATACATACATCACAGAAGGGCTGTAACCCAAGACCACCCCCCACAAACATCATACCTACAACACAGAAAAGGTGGTCTACAACAGAAATTTGAATGTTGCTGTTTTTCTTGTCTCCCTGGTTATCAGATAATGCCTTACCTGATTGCCTTTCCTGGTAGTCTGTCACCCTTTGAAATGGTGATTACTAAATTCCTGTAACAAGGAAAGTTTTTTTTTACCTCCTCCCTCCTTGCAGAGAAACATTTGATCAGCTTGGGCGTCAAAATGGTTTCAGGACTGTCTTCCTGTGCTGCTTCAGATATGTGCTTTATATTTATTTTATGTACGTGTTTGCTTGCTACATTTATGAACATTTAATATGGGTAAAGAACTTAATTCTTTCCGGAGGTCTGTTCTTAACCTGAAACTGTTCTTAACATGATGCACCACTTTAGCTAATGGGGCCGCCGCACCGCCACCGCACAATTTCTGTTCTCATCCTGAAGATTTCTCTTGCAAGGTCAAGGAAAATAGAAAAGCCTCCCCATTGTCTTTTCATTCACAAACCCTGTCTTAAGGGTATGTTTGTGTATGAATAGGGTGAGCCTGTGACCTGGCTCAGGAACTAAGTATTTATCATTAAAAAAGACTGGCCAGGCTCCCCAGAGTATCCAATCAAGTAAGCATTAACAGGTAACCTGCCAGACAGGAGGTAAACAACGCACTCAGATTTCTGTTGTAGACCGCCCTTTCTGTGATGTAGGTATGATGTGTCTGCGAGGTGGTCTTGAGCTACACCTCTTCTGTGATGTACGTATGATGTTTCTGGGGTGGTCTTGGACTCCAGGGCTGGCAATTTAAAATGTCTATATAAGGGCGGGCACACCTTGGTTCTGGGTCCTCCTCCTTTTCTGCGTGTTGGGGAGCCCCCTGTTGCAACAGCTTTAATAAAGATCAGGCTTACTAGCTGCTTTGCTTCTCAATATTCTCTGGTTGGTCTCTGTTCTTTTCTCCGACTGATAGAGAACCTGCAAAGGACTCTATAAGGGCTCTTGTGTCCCCCATAAGGGAATAAGGGCAGATTTTCGTTTATTACACTAGGAAGCTAGACTGTTGGTCCACCTAGCTCACTGTTGTCTGCACTGACTGCAAACAGCTTTCGAGGGTTTCAGACATGATTCTACCTACACCTAGCTCCACCTGGAGATGCCAGGGATTGATGTGGGAAATTCCGCATGCAAAACTGATGCTCTACCTCTGAGCCAGTTGCAGATCTTGTGCTCTGAGGAATTGGCTGCAGGAGACAGCAAAGGGTTGGCAGATAAGGGGAATTTCCCCCGTCTTGTTTGCTTCCCTCTCCACTGTTTGCATTGCATCAGACGGCTGCCTGCCTCACTAAGTCCAAAGGTGAACATGGGTCAGAGAACAACAGCCAGCTTCTACAGCCAGTGCCTACCAAACCCAGTCCAACTGCCAGGCAATCGCCGACTTTTGCTGATGCACACATGGGAAACCCCATGCAAAATGGTCACCACCTTTAAAAAAAAACCCAGAAGCCTTCCTTTGGGAATTATAGGGATAGAACTACCTAAACTGTATAGAAATATATTCATGTATGCGACTACAGCGGCAAGAATGCTACTTGCCCAAAAAATGGAAAGAAGAAGTCCTAGTGCAAGAAGAATGGATACAAAAACTTATGGAATACGCAGAAATGGCAAAACTTACCGGAAAAATAAGAAATCAAGATAACAAACTTTTTATAAAAGAATGGAAATATTTATATTTACAAATAAACTGTAAACAGATAAGAACATTGGCAGGATTGTTGCAACAACCTGCAGTTTTATAAGAGTATATATTTAAAGGAGATGACTAAATGAGTAAATTAAGTTAATTTGGAATATGCAGAAAATATAAAAAATAAATTTAAAGAACCGCAGGAAGAGGGGGATGGAAGTCGAGTTTTGAAATGATAAAATGACTGTAAAATTATTGAAATGTATAAAAAAGAAAATAAATAATAATACTGTAGTAGTAGTAGTAATAATAATAATAATAATAATAATAATAATAATAGAATGGTCGCTGCCTGTACACCATGCTCAGTGAGACGTTTGTACAGAGAGACTCATAAAGGAACAGAGGACATGGGGGCAGGATAGGAACCTCAGGGACAAAGTATAAGTCCATAATGCCAGGCCACCAAGGGAAAAGAGTTCCCTCATGTGTGCAAGGAAACATCCGGGTTACAAATCCCTCACAACTGTTCCCAAGAACCATTTGGGGCCTTTATGAAAATCCAGTGTTTACCACGCTACACTGGAGAAAATGCCCAAGCAGTCTGAATTTAACTTCTGCTTCAAATAAGGAAGCTTCCTTCTAGGTCTCCTGAGCAAGGACAAAAAAAAAATCCAGCTGTGTCAGCAGAAGTCTCGGCCATTTCCTAAATATGTGCATGCCCCTATACAGTGGTACCTTGGTTCTCAAACACCTGGAAGTGTTCCAGTTTTCGATCGTTTTTCGGAAGCCAAATGTCCGATGCGGCTGTCGGCTATTGTTTCTGGGGCACCTGCACCAATCAGAAGCTGTGCCTTGGTTTTCGAACATTTTGGAAGTCAAACAGACTTCCAGAACGGATTAAGTTTGGAGCTTTTGTTTTTGATATTTAATTTGAGCTTTTGTGGCTTTTTCGGTTAATTTGTTTTTGTGACTGTGTGGAACCCAGTCCAGCTACTGATGGATTGATTTTGTGGCTGTGGAAATGGATAAAAGCCCCCTATCCAAACAATGACTATCATCAGTGCAGGTAAGAAAAAAAAAATATTTTTTATCATCTACAATACCACCTTATTTATTTTATAGTACAGTACATTGATTACTGCTTTCATTTTATGGATCAATGGTCTCGTTAGGTAGTAAAATTCAAGTTAAATTGCTGTTTTAGGGATTGCTGTTTTTAAAGTCTGGAGCGGATTAATCTGTTTTGCATTACTTTCTATGGGAAAGTGCGCCTTGGTTTTGGAACGCTTTGGTTTTGGAACGGATTAAGTTTGAGAACCAAGGCGCCACCATATTAGAATCTTCAGCAAGGGCAGCAATTCTGTCTGGAGACGTGGGCAAGAAACCATAGCTTAGCCTGACCTGACGTCATCTTGCCTCTTTTCCTCTCCCTAGGAGGCTGAAGTCCTTAAATGAGCCACCATGCTGCTCTAAGGATCATCAATGCAAAAATAATGGAGGCACCTACACATCCTTTTGCCCCAGGGAGGGGTAGCAGAAGCACCACAAGGATCCAAACGTGAGGAAACCTGGGAAAGGATAGTCCGTCTTTGTTTCCCTTATTCACTTGCGCAACAGCAGCAGATCAAGCAAATCATCCAGACTGACCTCAAGGTGATCTTGGGGTATTCGGAAAGCCTTCCCCTTCTCTCCCCGCTGCAGCCCAGAGGGCCTACTCTCAAGCTTACAAGGCGGTTCAAAGATGGCAGCCCTCTGGCTCCTTACCTGACTCCAATGGGCTGGCTCTTCAGTTCGTAGAAGTTGTCACTGCTCAGCGAGAGGATATTCTCCAGGTCAATGTCAGCCACAATCCCAGACTCTGGAAGGAGGGAGTTGAAGCTGTTGGAAGAAAAATACAAAGGACACGGGGTCAGAAAGGCGAGTTCTCTTTGAACTGCAAGGGCCGTTATCTCAGACAACAGGCTGAGACACAGACCCAACTCAGCCTCTCTCCATAGGAGCAGAAAACATGCATTTAAGCAGCTTTGTTGAGGAGGCAAGCTGTGCCCTTTTCTGGAGACATCTGACTTGTCCAGGGCCATTCACAATCTTCACAGTGGACTCCTGAAACATACTCTACATGGGACTGACGTGAGGAAACATTCCTAACATTCAACAGGTGCAGAAATGCCACCCCTGGACCAGGTCAGTCAGAGCATATTATTCCAGTCTTGTCCAATCTGCACTGATTGACTATTCATTTCCAGGTTTAAGTTAGGACACTGTTTGTATCTGGAAAGCTGCATCTTAAAAGTACATTAGGGACGGCCTTCTCTCAATATGCTCATCCCACTCACACCCACCTTGTGTCAATGCCAGTGGTCTGCTCTGTGTGTTCCTCACTGACAGAAGTATAGCAGATCTCCAGAAAGAGCAGGGGCGCAGGGTCATGAAATCATAGAATTATATATAGTTGGAAGGGACCAGGGGGTCATCTAGTCCAACCCCCAGCAATGCAGGGTCTTTTCAGTTGTGGCTCCAGACGGAGAGTGTTTTTAGATGCCCTGGCAAACATGGCTTTTCAGAGACCTCTCTACTGCTGCTGCAATGGACCTATGTCTTTTTTTTAAAAGCCTGCCTGCTACATTTATTATTTTGATGGACTGTGCCTTTTTATTTGCTGCACTCTCGCTGTATGTTTTGAGAACTGTTGTTCAAATTGTTCATCTTCAGTCTTGGGAGCAAATGTAGATCTTCTGAGGAAGAAAGCCAGAATTCTTGTAGCAACAACTGTTCATGTAGCAGGCGGGTGTTCTCCCAAACTGGTGCACCGAAGATGTTCTGGACTACCACTCCCATCATCCCTGATCCTTGGGCCTTGCCTGCTGGGGCTGATGGGAGTTGTAGTCCAAAACAAATGGAATGCACTGGGGGTTGGGGAAAAGGCTATTGTAAGTATACCAACACTTGCAGTTTCTCTCGACTTCCTTGATGCCATCTTTTACTGCATGTTGCCCACCAAAGTCGGCAGCGTAAGCTCAGGTTCCTCCCTTCCTTAAATCTCTGTAGAGTACAGCTTAGTCCTATTTCACACAGCAAGGCTGAACCAATGGGAATGTGGAATGCCCACACCTAAGTCTGCGTGGCATACGACAGCAGCCACAATGGGACAGCGGCACAGAGATCACCTCCCCAAACCGACTTTATTGCAATTTATCAAGATGAGGCTGGAGCAGACAGGGGAGCAGCGATGCCAGGGCTGTGTGGGCATAACAGAAAGAGTGGAATGGCTGTGTCATATGGCCACAGCCCCATGGCTACCTGCCCTGCCCAGTGACATTGGCGTTGGGAAGGTATCTCCACAAGCTCTGCCCCACCACCCAGGCCCCTCCTGGTGCTGTGGGGATTAGAATGCTGAACGAGGACCTGGGAGACCCAGGTTCAAATTCCCCCTCGGCTGTGAAGCTCACCAAAACAGAAAGTCTTTGATGAGCCAAATATCAGGAAGCGAAAGAGACTTTCACAACTACGGACTGCACAGAATGTCATAATAAAAAGAAAGCAGTATTGGGGCTGAACTTGGGGGAAAGGTGTGAGAATCTCACCCACAGAACTAAGAAACACGGGGTTGTTGTGTTTGCAAACCCAGATATAGGGTTAGACCTGGCCTCTCCCAGCCACCTTGTCCCATCTTCCTAACAGGACTGCTTTTCTTCGACTCTAGCAGGGTTAACAGCTCCCCTTAAAAAAATACCAATGGTGTATTTTAAAATTAAAAATTATCCACAGTGTTTCCAGCAATAACCTCTGGCCTTTCAATAAAGGACATTTCAGGTGTTCAAAAGAACATCCATGTACAGTACCTGAATCCTTGCGACAACCCTGCAGTGTTGGTCAGCAGTATCATCCCTAGATTTGGGGGGTGAGCTGGAGGTGGAGCTGTCTGCCTCAAGCCAGCATCTTGTTCTCACAAATGTCACCCAGACACCCCTGAGAAGGCTGTAAGCAAGACCTGAGCTCAACAACATTTGTGATTCCTGGAAACTGGTATTCAGAGACAGACTGCCTTCAACAGTGAAGACGGAACATAGCCATTATTCATGGCTAATAGCCATTGATAGCATTCTCCTTCATAGAACCACAGAACTGTAGAGTTCTGTGCAGTAGAGTAACTTTACAGTTACAGAACTGTAAAGCTTCTAGCTTAAAGCTTTGGAGTTTCTGGCAAAGGGCAAGATTTCAACCAGGGACTTATTGGTTCTGCCTTGTCATCCCTCGGCCTCTAGGTTCCTAATCCTTGTGGGATGCATGTACATGGCTGAACATTGCAATAACCGAGACGTGTGGCAGACGGTTCCACCTATAGTGTAATCCTATGGCACCTTTTAAGACTGACAAATTCACAGGTAGTGCAAAATACAGCAGCCCGTTGCTTGACTGGGGCCAGCAGTATGGTGTATAATATATCATGCCAGTTTTGAAACAGTTACCCTGGGCTACCAGTCAGTTTCTCGGTTCAATCAGAAGTGCTGGTTCCCACCTACAAAAGCCCTAAAGAGCTTGGGACAAGGGTACTTAATGACCACCTGTTTCCACATGATGGTACCTACATACAGTGGTACCTCTGGTTAAGAACTTAATTCATTCCAGAGGTCTGTTCTTAACCTGAGGTACCACTTTAGCTAATGGGGCCTCCCGCTGCTGCTGCACAATTTCTGTTCTCATCCTGAGGTCAAGTTCTTAACCCGAGGTACTACTTCTGGATTAGCGGAGTCTGTACCCGAAAGTGTTTGTAACCCAAGGTGTTTGTAACCCAAGGTACCACTGTACCTCAAAAGAGTAAACTAGAGGAGTTTGGTAACTCCACCAAGCTTGGCACAGATATGGAGTTGGCTTGCTTCCTAGGTTCCTCCTCAGTGTATACATTCCTATTCCAACACTACCATTGTTGTCCAACATGAATCTGATAGCACAGGGACTGTGAGCAGATCCATAAAGCACATCCAACACTGTCGTTCATTAAGGGTGCTAGGAATTGTAGCTTGTGTGGAAAACTACAGTTCCCGGGACTCTGTGGGATAAGCCAAGTGCTTTGAAGGGGCATTGGATGGGCTTTCAATGTATGGTGTTGATCTGCCTTGCAGCGCCTTGGTTTGCAAAGTGCCTAATTCAATCCCCGCTGCCTGATACCTTGAAGATTTGGTGTCAGCATAGACGATATGGATGGATCCATGGATCCATGCAGTGGCGTAGCGTGGGGGGTGCAGGGGGGGCCGGCCGCACCGGGCACAACATCTGGGGTTAGGGCAAATCCACAGGTTAGGGGGCGCAAATCCACGGGTTAGGGGGCGCAAATCCACGGGTTAGGGGGCGCAAATTACTTGCCTTGCCCTGGGTGCTGACAACCCACGCTACGCCACTGGATCCATGTTCTAACTCTATATAAGGCAGGTTCTGATGCTCTAATAAGGATGCGGGCCCACATCGCAATGCATATATCAGTCTTTTTAACATTTATTAGCTGGCCTTCAGCCTTGGCTCTCAGAGCTACACACAATGTAGAATGCCAAAAACAATAAAACAACAAACTGCAGCAGTAGATTAAAAGTCTGGATTGTTTGGTCTATAATGTCACTCCTAAAAGCACTACATAAACATTGAAGTATTCTTATTAGTCATGTACTACTTGTAAAATTGCTAGTCACAGACCACATACAAGGAATGAACTGCCTCAACTACACAAATAATTTCAACACATGCAACCTGCATCAACACAGAGAACCACAGGCCATGCAGCGGTTCCTATGAACACACCCTGTCAACCTTCTGGACCAATAGGCAAATGACCCACAGCATTATCTCCTTCCCAAGTTTCATCTTACCCACTTGTGACAAGAACACTTTTTCTTTTCACACCTCCCATCAACATATATGCACCTCTAGCACAATGTCAAAAGTGTCTGCACTCCTGGAATAAAACGATCTGTACCTGGTCTGTGTAAGTAACCTCAAAAGTTCATCCCACTTGGATTGGGGGTGGCGGAGGAGAGAGAACTGGTACAGTATAGCATAAAATCTGGGGAAGAGGAACCTTCAGGTGCTGTTGTACCAGTGTTAGAAACTCAGATATATAAACTAATCACCAAATGGCATTTTAAACCTAGGTTACAGTCGCCATAACAGAATATGGAGGTGCTTTGGGGGGAGGGGGGAGAATTATTATTATTATTATTATTATTATTCATTTAATTTCTATTGTTTTGTACTTTTAAGAAAAAAATATCAAAGTGGTTTACAACACGTTAAAACATCAAATAAAACAAGACAGAATAAAACAAATTCAAGCTTCAAGGAAAACATTTCAGATCCTTCTGGGATGTTTGGCTTTCCCCATATTTATTTACCTACTTTACTTTATAGCACTGTCCCAAAGCAGAAGTACTCTAGGAAGCCAGGGTGGCCCCCAGATGTTGTTGGACTACAACTCCCATCATCCCTGAGCTCTGGCCTTGCTAGCTAGGGGTGATGGGAGTTGTAGTCCAACAACATCTGGGAACTCACAGGTTGAAAAAGGCTGGGTTAGAGTGTCGGAGGAGGACCTGGGAGATCAGGGTTCAAATCCCCACTCCGACATGAAGCTCACTAGATGACCGTGGGCCAGTCAGTCTCTCAACCTACCTCACAGTGTTGTTTTGGGGATTAACTGAGGAGGGGCGTGAACCATGTACTCCATGGAGAAAAAGGTGGGGTATATATGCAATAGATAAGCTCTTCTGCTTAAGAAAGTTGGAGGGGGAAGCCAGATGGAGATGTCAGTCACCATTGGACCCGCACCAGTCACAAAATGTGCCTGGGGGTTTTCAAAAACAATGCTGTTCTCTCTTTAGACCCAGCCAACA